CAATAATGAATTTTCACAAAGAGAAACTAAACAAACAATTTCATTTACCATTGCAACAAAAAATTCAAGATACTTAGGAATAAACTTAATCAAGGAGGTAAAAGATCTGTACTCAGAAAACATCAGTACGTTGAAAAAAGAGATAGAAAAAGGTATAAACAAGTAGAAGAATATACTGTGTTCATGGATTTGTAGAATCAACATTTTTAAAATGTCCATACTACCCAAGGTAATCTACAGGTTCAATGCAATCCTTATTAAAATACCAACAGCATATTTCACAGATCTAGAAAAAATACTCCAAAAATTTATATGGAACCAAAAAAAGACACTGAATGACTGCAGCAATCTTGAGAAAGAAGAACAAATTTGTAGGGATCACAATACCACATATCAAATTATACTACAAAGCCACCGTAATCAAAACAGCCGTGTACTGGCACAAGAACAGGCATATAGATCAATGAATCAGAATAGAGTCCCCCAAAATCCACCCAAGCCATTACACTCAATTAATATTTGACAAAGGAGGCAAGAGCATACAATAGAGTCAAGATAGTCTCTTCAATAAATGGTGTTCAGAAAATTGGACAGATACATGCAAAAAAAAAAAAAAAAAGAACCTAGACCACCAACTTACACCATATGCAAGAATAAACTCAAAATGGATAAAAAGACTTAAATGTAAGATGTGGAGCTCAGCCGGTGTTGCTCAATGGTTGAGCGTTGATCTAGGAACCAGGAGTTCACAGTTGGATTCCTGGTCAGGACACATGCCTGGGTTGCAGACTAGATCCCCAGTGTGGGGCAAGGCAGATGATCAGTGATTCTCTCTGATCATTGATGTTTCTATCTCTCTCTCCCTCTCCATTCCTCTCTGAAATCAATAAAAATATATTAAAAATAATAAAGTATTCAAGCAGGCAGTTCATATAAAAGAAATACAAGTAGTCAGAATTCAGATTAAAAAAATGTAAGATGTGGAACCACAAATATGCATAGGCAGCAAAATCTCTGACATCTCTCATAGCAATATGTTTGCTTATACATCTCTTAAGGGCTAAGGAAACTAAGGAGAAAATAAACAAATGGGACTACATCAAAATAAAAAGCTTCTGCACAGCAAAAGAAACCATCAACAAAATGAAAAGAGAGCCCACTGCATGGGAGAGCATATTTGGCAATGATACGTATGATAAAGGGTTAATATCCAAAATATGTAAGGAATTCATACTTTACAAAAGGAAGACAAACAATCCAATTAAAAATGGCAAAGGACCTAAATAGACACTTCTCCAAAGTGGACATACAGATGGCCAAGGGACACATGAAACAATACTCAAAGTCACTGATCATCAGAGAGATGCAAATTAAAATGACAATGAGGTATCACTCACCTGTCAGCTACTTGCCATTGACCAGAACTCAGTCCTGCATCCATGCCCACACCTAATGGCAAACATCTAAGGAATGTAGACTAGCTATGTGCCCAAAGGCAAAGAAGTGGCTGCTGATGACTCCATTTCCTCAAAAAATTAAATATTGAATTTGACTCAGTGATCCCACTTCTAGGAATGTATCCTAAGAATCCTGAAATACCAATCAGAAAGAATACATGCACACCTATGTTCATAGCAGCACTATCTATAATAGCTAAGATCTGAAAACAATCCAAGTGCCCATCAGTAGACAAGTGGATAAAAAACCGGTGGTAGATTTACACAATAGAATACTATGCAGCTGTAAAAAAGAATAATCTCTTACCCTTTGAGACAGCATGGAGGGACCTGGAGAGTATCATGCTAAGTGAAATAAGTCAGTCAGAGAAAGTCAAGTATCACACGATCTCACTCATATGTGGAATCTAATTAACAAAATAAACTGATGTACAGAGAGGATCCAGAGACATGGAAGCATGGAACAGAGTGTGGAATCTCAGAGGGAAGGTGGGGGAGGATGGGTGGGTAGGAGGTAATCAACCATAGACTTGGTATGCATAAACTGTGGACGTGGACAATTAGGTGGTGAAAGCCTAGAGCAGGGGGCGGGGGGGCTCAAGGGGATTAATGGGGAGGGAAGGAGACATATGTAATACTTTCAACAATAAAGATTTAAAAAAGAATAAAATGGCAATAAATAAATACCTATCAATTACAACTTTAAATGTAAATGGCCCAATCAAAAGACATAGGGTAGTTGAATGGATAAGAAAAGAAGACCCATATACATGCTGTCTATAAGAGACCCACCTCAGAACAAAAGATTCACGCAGACTGAAAGTGAAGGGATGGAAAAACATTGCATGCAAATTGAAACCCCAAAAAATACTGGGGTAGCAATACTCATATCAGACAAAATGGACTTCAAAACAAAGGCTATAATAAGAAACAAAGAAGTACACTACATATCATAAGGGAGCAATCCGACAAGAGAATATAAGCCTTGTAAACATTTATGTACCTAATATAGGAGTACCTAAATATATAAAGCAAATCTTTTTTAAAAAACAACAACAATATACATTTTTATTGATTTTAGAGAAGAAAGGAGAGGGGGAGAGAGAGAGATAGAAACATCAATGATGAGAGAGAATCATTGATCGGCTGCCTCCTGCATGTCCCCTACTGGGGACCGAGCCCATAACCTGAGCATATGCCCTGACCGGGACTTGAACCAGTGACCTCTTGGTTCCTCGGTGGACACTCAACCACTGAGCCACACCCGGCTGGGCTATAAAGCAAATCTTGATGGACATAAAGGGAGAGATCCACAGTAATACAATCATGGGGGTTTTAACACCTCATTGACATCAATGGATAGATCTTCCAGACAGAAGGTCAACAAGGAAACAGTGGCCTTATATGATACACTAGATCAGATTTATTTAATTGATATCTTCAGAGCATTTCACCCCAAAGTAGCAGAATATACATTCTTTTCAAGTGTACATGGAACATTTTCTAGAATAGATCATATGTTAGGGCACAAAACAGTAAATTTAATAAGATTTAAATAATATCAAACATCTTTTCTGACCATAATTCTATGAAACTAGAAATCAATCACAAGAAATAAACTGAGAAACACTCAAACACACGGAGGCTAAATAATATGTTATTAAACAATGAATGGGTTAACAACAAGATAAGGAAGAAATCAAAAGCTACCTGGAAACCAATGAAAATGAACACACAACAACACAAATCTATGGGGCACAGTGAAAGCAATCCTGAGAGGAAAATTCATAGCATTATAGGCCTCCCTCAAGAAGCAAGAAAAATTTCAAACAATCTAACCCTACACCCAATAGAACTAGTTAAAGAACAATGAACAAAGCCCAGAGTAAGTAGAAGGAAGGGAAAAATAAAGATTAGAGCAGAAATAAATGACATAGAAACTAAAACAAACAAAAAAGCAAAAATGTCAATGAGACCAAGAGCTGATTCTTTGAAAAGATAGACCAGATTGACAAACCATAAACCAGATTCATCAAGAAAAAAAGAATGGACCCAAATAAATAAAATCAGAAATGAAAGAGGAGAAGTAACAACTGACACCACAGAAATACAAAGGATCATAAGAAAATACTATGAACAATTGTATGCCAACAAATTGGATAACCTGGGTGAAATGGATAAATTCCTAGAAACATATCTAATCTTCCAAAACTTAATCAGTCAGAATCAGAAAACCTGAGTAGACCAATTACAACTAATAAAATTGAAGCAGTAATCAATAAACTCAGCAAACAAAAGTTCTGGACTAGATGGCTTCACAGATTAATTTTATCAAACATTCAAAGAATGTCCATACTACCCAAAGCAATCTATAGACTCAACACAATTCCTATTAAAATACCTATGGCATATTTCACAGATCTAGAACAAATATTCTGAAATTTTATGTGGAACCGCAAATGACCCTGAATAGCCTCAGCAATCTTGAGAAAGGAGAACAAAGTTGAAGATATCACACTACTGATATCATTGCAATAAAAATAACCTGGTACTGGCATAGGTACAGGCATATAGATCAAAGGAACAGAGCAGGGAGCCCAGAACTAAAGCCACACCTTTATGGTCAATTAATATTTGACAAAGAAATTTTAAGTTCATCTTCAAATCTTCTAGCAAGACTTTGTCAAGTCCAGTCCTTTCCTCTCTATGTCCAAAGCTTCCTCCCTGGTAATGGAGTAAAGACAGTCTCTTCAATAAATGGTGTTGAGAAAATGATACATGCAAAAAAAAAAAAAAATGAAAACAGACCACCAACTTACACCATACACAAAAATAAACTCAAAATGGATAGAATACTTAAATAAGTATTCTTAAATAAGTCACAAAACCATAAAAATCTAAGAAAAAAACAGCGGTAAAATCTCAGACATCTCTCATAGCTATATTTTTTGCCAATATATCTCCTCAGTTAAGGAAAACAAAGGAAAAAATAAACAAATGCGACTACATCAAACTAAAAAGCTTTTGCACAGCAAAAAAAAAAAAAAAAGCATCAACAAAATGAGAAGGGAATCCATTGAATGGGAGAACATAATCACCAATGATATACCTGATAAAGGGTTAATTTCCAAAATATATAAAGAACTTATACAACTCAACACCAAGAAGACAAACAACCCAATTTAAAAATGCACAAAAGATCTGAATAGACACTTCTTCAAAGAGGACATTCAGATGGCCAATAGACATATAAAATGATGCTCAATGTCACTATTAATCAGAGAGATACAAATTAAAATTACAATGAGCTATCATCTTACACCTGTCAGAATGGCTGTCATCAATAAACCAACAAACAAGTGCTGGTGAGGATGTGGAGAAAAGGGAACCCTCATGTACTGTTGGTGGAAATGCAGGCTGGTGCAGCCACTATGGAAAACAGTATGGAGAAAAATTAATAATGAAACTGCCTTTTAACACAGCGATTCCATTCCTGGGAATATATCTGAAGAAATCTGAAACACTATTTTCGGAAAGAATATATGTATCCCTATGTTTATTGCAGCATTATTTACAACTAGAGGCTCGGTGCACGAATTCGTGCACCAGTGGGGTCCCTCAGCCTGGCCTGGGGGATCAGGCTGAAACTGGCTCTCTGACATCCCCTGAGGGGTCCCAGGTTGCGAGAAGGTGCAGGCCAGGCCGAGGGACCTCACCGGTGCATGATCGGAGCCGGGGAGAGATGTGGGAGGTTGGCCAGCTGGGGAGGGACCATGGGAGGGCTCCAGGGCATGTCTGACCTGTCTCGTTCAGTCCCAATTGGCTGGACCCCAGCAGCAAGCTAACCTACCAGTTGGAGCTCTGCCCCCTGGTGGTCATTGCATGTCATAGAATTGGTTGACCAGTCAACTGTCTGCCCCCTGGTGGTCTGTGCATGACACAGTGAGCGGTTGAGCGGCCTTAGCATATCATTAGCATATTATACTTTGGTTGGTTGAACGGCCGACTAGTTGACTGGACATTTAGCATCTTAGGCTTTTATTATATAGGACTAGAGGCCCGGTGCACGAAATTCGTGCACTGGGGGGTGGGGTTCCCTCAGCCCAGCCTGCCCCTCTCACAGTCCGGGAGCCCTCAGTGGATGTCCTACTGATGGCCACAGTCTGGCAGCAGAGGCTCGGAGCAGGCATCCCGTGTGTGTGTGTGTGTGTGTGTGTGTGTCTGCTGGGGGCCTGCCCCCAGCCACACCATGGAGGCTTGGAGCAGGAGCCCCTCTGTGTTGATCTCTCAGGCTCATGGCCTCCACTGCATGTTGTACTCTCCCTTGAGCTATGGCCAGGATGGGGGTGCTGCTTGCAAGCCGGGCTTTCCTGCTCCCGGATCGCCATGGCGACCAGGAAGCAGGCCCAGCTGGGGGCTGCCCACAGGCTGGCTTTCCCGCTCCCAGGTCTCCATGGCGACCGGGGAGCAGGCCCAGCTTGGGGCTGCCCTCAGGCCAGGCTTGCTTTCCTGCTCCTGGATCCTCATGGCGACCAAGGAGA